CTCCGGGGTGGATGCTCTTCCCAGCATTTACACCAGGCTGAAGGACAAACTGTCTCGAATCGGGTGGGTCGTGGTGGAGCACGGTACCTGCTTGTGCTTATTGTTGCAGAGCTGCAGCTGAGGGCGTGTACTTGCTTATAAGCAGCTCTCTGCTATCACCAAGTGGAAGAAGCAAAGGCCCAGAAAATGGCGTGTGCACCAGGCTAGAGCCCACCGTTCTGCCCTTCCTCTGTGCTAAGATCGCTGCTTCGCATTTGCAGCATGACGCTGGCTGCTGTGACAGCAAGGGAGTGTCAGGCCAGGGACTTGGCGAGTTTTTTTGATTTGCTGAGACTGCAACTTTTCAGAGGTCCTGGTGAAACTTCCCCTAAGAACATGTTTCAAATCCAGGAGGGACTTTCTTGTCAGCCCTAGAGAGAATGAGAAACTGCCAGATAAAAAGGGCATGAACTCGCAGTGTGAGCAACAGAGACCAAACTCCCTGCTCATCTCGCTCGAGACAAAATGCATGAGCCCACCGTCCCGGCGAGTCCCGCGAGGCCGGGGTCAGGCCGGGAGCTAACTCTGCTTTATCTTCTGGAGAATAATTTCAGGGCTCATCTTGACGGGGAATGGGAAAACCGTGGAGATTACAAGAAGTTTTCGGTGCTGGGAGGACTGTTTCGTGCCTGGCTTTAGTGACAGGTTGTGAGGAGGCGTTAGCAGGTTGCCGGATGATCAAAGGGAGAGGGGAGGGATTCCCCAGACCAAGCGGGTGCTGGGTCTCACTCCAACACCACCTTAGAGCAAAGGGCAAGAAAGACCAGGGGTTTATGCTTCCCCCCTTTGGCTTTGTCCTGGTCTTTCTTTAAAATGATGAACAGCAGCCGCCAGCCGATAATGATTTAGTATGTGGAAAGCCTGAGCTTTATCGGTGTCCCTATCCCGGCTCCTTTTAAGTCTCTGGTAGAAACCTCGCGAGCAGCAAGATATAAACTGGCTGAGTTTGTACCCACAAGGTAACTTGGCTGAGCCTCATGAATCCCACCGCTTTATGTGTATCAGCCCAGTTTCCTCAGCAAAGGCAAAGCTACCAGGTCCCAGCAGTGACCAAGAGAAGGGCTTGTGCTGGCTGGGGTCAGTCTTGAAAAGCGCTTTGCATCCCAAGAGTCGGCAGACGGGGGCTCCGGCACCAGCGCTGCAGTGCGTTTGGGATGCTGGACTGGCCACTCTCCTGTTCTCAGTCGGGAAGAATTTCTCATAAAAAGGGCGGTCGAGGCAGCCCTGCAAAACAGCTCGAATGCCTCTAGGAGGCACGAGAGCATGTCCGATCGCAGCGGGACGCGCAGCCCCTCGCTTCTGCATGAGCCACGTGTAGATCCCGGGGTCGCGGAGCCCTTTCCGATCTCTGTCCCCCATCGTTGTATGTGGTCGTGGGCTGGAGGAAGCCTGGGGTGCTGTGCAGAGCACCCCGAGCCCCAGGTCGTGTCCCAAAGTGCTGAGAGGCTGATGTGGGGCTGCCCAGCATGAAACTGGAATCAGGCCCCGCATCTGCATGTGCTTACAAAACCTGTGTTTGGATGGAACCTCTACAGCACTGGCTGGCAGGTTCTCATCCTCTGGACAACATGAGGAGCTGGCCCTGCACAGCCGGGGACCATTGCCCCTGTCCCGACGGGGGACGAGTCCCAGGTACCATGATCCCTGGTCAGTGCTGGGGCAGCAATCGTTTCTCTCTCTCCTTTTATTCCTGAAGAGATCTGCGGGATCAAAATGATCGTGTCTGCCACAGGACCACCCAACCATCACATCTCTGCTCCCTAGCCAAAGACAAGGAGTGATTTCCTCAAGTGTAGGTCCTGGGTTCGGTGGCTTTAATACTGCTCTGCCTTTAGGGGCAGGTGGAGGTTGGTAAGAGATTTCTGGAGGTACTGAGTGAAATCCACCTCACCTGCCTTGGACACGCACCTCCGCCAGCGGCAGTGCAGCACGTCTCCTGCCACTGACTGCAAGAGAGAGCCTCAGGGACTGGCTTAGACTCATAAAGGACACTTAGGAAAGAAAATCCATATTAAATAAAGGTTTATGGATTAAGCTCCTTGGTAGGAGACTCTTACAAGGAATTCAGTTTACTTTCATTCATTTAAGAAGAACTGAACTGAGTCATAGTCATTTTAATTCTGCTAAAAATGGTACAAAGAAGTTTAATGTGACTTATCTTAATCCACTTGAAAAATCAATTCAGATTAATTTTCTTGAGTGTCTTGCATAGTTTGCCTTTGATTTTTCACATGTTAATTAGTTTTATTGTGCATGGCTGAAACCTAGCATGACCGTAGCTTCCATCAGTCACAGAAAATGCTCCTGTGGTTATGTGCAGACTTCAGATACAAAGCTTATATGTTGGGTAACTAGGATGGAGAATGCTCCTGGACAGGTCCTGTTAACGATTGCACAGAATCACTGTGGTTAGCAGGGACCTCTGGAGGTCTCGAGTCCAGCCCCTCTGCCCACAGAATGGTCAATTGGGGCAAGCTGCTTGGGGCCACGTCCAGTTGGGTTTGAGTATCTGCAAGGACGGAGACCCCAAAACCCCTCTTGGCAAACTTTTCCAATATTTGACCACCTTTAAAGTAAAAAAGTTTTCTCTTAGGTTTCAAAACCACACTTTTCTTTTTTTTTCTGTTTCCCTTAGCACATGATGAAGAGCTGGAGACAACCAAAAAGCAACCAGCATTTCTCCCTGGGAACAGCCGTACAGGTCAGCCTGGAAGATTTGAGCATTGCCATCAAGTGCTGTCTGACAAGAGTTTGTACTTCAGCCGCTACTGTTTTGAGGTTGAGATATCTGAGGCTGATACCTTGGCATGACGTACAGAAGCATTGACCGGGCAGGTTCCGAAAGCAACAGTTGCACCTCGGGGAACAACTTCACCTGGAGCATCCTGCAAAATGGGAAAGGGTTTTCTGCATGGCGCAGTGATGTGGAGATGCCCGTCAAAATGGATGTGTTTGGTAGGACAGAGGTCTACTCGAACTACCCCAGCACGACCTGGTCCTTTTTCGGGGTCGCCTATGTTGACGTGACCTTGATGCACCAGTTTGAGTATGATTTTGCTGAGGTCCTCTGCGCTGACTTTTGGCTTTTAAAGAAAGACAACTGTCAGGGTAATGTGGCTGGGGGTAGATGCTGAGAAGGTTCCAGCCTCCTTGTGTTCCTTTGGGGAGCTGCTCCCTTGAAAGCACCTGAGTCGGAAGAACTGGCCAGTGCTTCGGTTACAGTGTGATGCCAATGCTTTTGCTGCAGGTAGCTGGGTGAAGAAGGGAGAGGTGTTTCAATAAAGACTCGTGTAATCGACTGTGGTTCTGAGCACCCCATATTTTAGAGGTAGACAAGGCTTCAGAGTTCATGCAGTCGGTTGTGCAGGGGTCGGTGCAGTTTGTTCCCAGCACTATATCCATTAATATTCTGTTTAGTATGAGTTAAAACCTTTTTTTTTTTCCCCACCAATTTTTTTTCCCCTGCCAAGGATGATGTTGTGTCACTGCCCTGACGCGTTGGTCTTGCCATGCCGGCGTGAGTCAGCAGACAGAGGCCAGGCAC